GCGCCTTCAATCGTAGCCGCCTCCATAAATGGGGCCCACCGCTTACGAAAACGCTGTCTGGGTTGCTTGTGGGCGTCACTTTCTTCGTGTTCATATTGACTGTTGACTGTGTCGTGGGCCCCCTTACTTGATTTTTTAACTCGGATATGCTCCGGGTTTTTTTTTTATTAACACTTTCGTATCTCGATCTTCCAATCCCATTTCGTTTTTTAATGTCTCCTTCAGATCCGATTACCTTCTTCTTTTTCTTTTTTGGCTGAAATGCATCACTAAGCATGCAACGCATTTAAGGTCAATTATATCCCTCTTATGAAAAATAATCCTCCATGATATTTGTTAGTGCTAGCTGTTTTTTTAGCATGATTGTCCAATTATACTGTGCCATTCTATTATAGAAATTGGGTAGAAGCTACTTTTTCATTTAAGTGATTTGTGTTTTACTTGATCCATAAAAGGTTTGGCTTCTCTCTGCTGTAAAAATGTAATAGAGAGATTATCACTTTTTGATCATCGATCGTTGTTGATTGCCTGCTGATTATTGCGATTCGTTACAAATGCAACAATCACCATACCTCATACGAATTACGAAACAATTAATTATTACGATAAAAGTAGTAAACTCTCTGCTACTTTTCCGATGGATTTAAATACTTGCATCCCCACTATTTTCCTGCTCTTCCTCTCTCTAAAAAGTTTCTCGCCCTCTATATATTCTCTTCAAGGGAAGTTTTAACCATTTTCTGGTGACTTTCCCAAAACTCGACTGCTACTATTTCCCTGCACCTAGAAACCCTAGCCTAGATAAATGTTAATTATCTCAGGAATCACACTTGATGAAGAGGGAGAAGGCGCATTCAAGATGAAAGGAATCATGGCTTGTTTCAAGCGTACTGAAGCAAGTTTGGTTGGACAAGCGACCCAACTTAGCCTCTGGGTCCCATTCTTTCAGAAAGCGGTAGTCCTGCGGCAAACAATTGAAACGAATTAATTAATAAATAAAAAAGTAAGGGTCCTGTAGAAAAAAAAATCATGGGGGTAATTAATTGAAAAGCTTTCCAATGAAATATGTTAGCCTTAGAATCAACACCCTATCATTTTGCGTTTTGCTTATACTCGCACTACTCTCTGTCTCGAGACGGAACAAAGCAGAGGATTACGTTAGGTCACCGATAATCATCACAAAATCTAGTCAGGTCTCTCTCTATGAATAAACTTGTTTAAAAGTTTTGTTATTGCATGTCATAGTAATTATAATAAAATGCTTTGATCATACAAATTATAGCGGTTGCGGTGATATTGAACGTCGTGATAATAGAAATTAAAGGTCACTATATGTCGCTTTACTTTATATATGATTTTGTTAGATCCTAGCTGTATACGATCTGTTTCGACAAAAGAATGAGGGTCATCAATGTCTCGACGACTTGGTAGCTGCTCACCTTTTTTTTTTTGCTTTGTTTGTTGTCAAATTAATTAGGTACTACTTTCTTTCTAGACCAAACCCGTGCCAAAAATTTGATGTTAACTAAGGGGATGTTTGTTTGCTTAAAAAATTGAGAAAACCCCCCGCCACGTCAGATTTCAAAAAATCTCCCACTATCACGTAGGATTTTGGTTTCAACCGATTTTCAAATCACATGTTTGTTTTGTTTTGTGATTTAAAGAAATGAGGGTGTCACGTAGGATGTCACGTCAGATTTTTGAGAAAAGTGTTTTCACACCAAAAACCTCTAAAAACAGTTGGAAATGTCACTTCAATGATTTTTTAATTACTAAAAGCATCGTTGAAACAATGGCTGTGAATAAAATAGATTATTTAATTGCTGAAAACATTGTTACTATTGCGGCTGATTTTTATTTTCTTTTTTTATGTTCAAACAAACACAAGAAATGAGAATTGAAACACTGTTACTTTATTGCGTCTGGATTTATTTCTTATGTAACGTGGAGGTGACGTGATAGTGATTTTAATGCGAAACAAACAAAAAAAATATGAAAAATGTTTTGAGATCTCTTGAATAAATTGAAATGTGAGTTTTCCATTTCCTATTTTTTTGAAATACAACCAAACAGCCCCTGAAGCTTTGATGAATTAAACTTGTAGCGTGCGTGCGCGGGCACATGTAGATGACGTGACCTCAGCGTTGAGGTACGTTTTTTAATTAATTTTGAGTCGGTTACAAATTTCTAATAGACTAACTGTGGACGACGTGAGAAGATGAAGCTCGCATCTTGGCGCCTTGGGGAGCGTGCGCAACACGTGCCGCTCGCACACGCGGTTTGGAGCACGAGATGGTCCTTGGTCCGGACCCACTGGACCAACTGTTAGTGGATTAATTAATAAACTTGGACGTGAGTTTTAGGCTTAAGTCCACGTAAACCCCAGATATGTGATGAAGAGGGTGTTGCTTATATATAACCCCCCTAAAGCTTGATGTATCTTACATGACCCTTGAATTTTCGGGCGTATCACAGAGCCCCATTGAATTTTAACCTTATCTTATCTGACCCATTAATATGATCTGTAACTTGCAGACAATTAAAAATTTTGTGGCTTGTCATCTACAAGCAACTACTTTCCTCCTAAAATTTTAAAATTTTGAATTTTTATCCTTCAGGAGGCGGTGGCGGAGCCAGGTGAGGCTTGCCCTGGGCAACTACACAGGGCAAGAAATTGTTCTTTTACAAGGTAGGAGTGGTCTCGTAGGCAGGTCCCAAGGTGGTGGCGGTGGTGGTCCTGGACAGAGAAGCGGTCGAGAACGAGACTTAAAGCTAAGAAAGGAGAGAGTGAGAGAGTCTAGGGATGAGAAAGTGAGAGATAGTCAACTGAAAGAAAATTGAACTTATAGCTTGAGACCATCTTTATTTTTCGCTCATGGTAAAAAATAATCCTGGCTACGCTAGCTGCTGTCAGGATTGTGAAATTAAGTTTTTGGAGCCGATCAATATCACGGCCATACTAGAGTCAATCAAGGAATTAATCCGTTAAGTTAGTTAATCCTTGTTTGACTGCATGAGCCTGGGCTTCAGCTCAACCGTTCTTTGAATAGAATCTGACCCTCTCACCTATAAAAATGGAAAGGGTGACTATAACGTTTTTTTAGGGCGATTGTAATGTTTAATCACAAAAGCTCCTTACATTTAACATATTTTGAACTTAGTCCCTCAGATCTTGAAGCGTTTATCAGGTGAATTAAAACCCCAATTATTAGGTAATTTTGAAACTAGCCACTTACATCAAGCGCGCGTTGGAGTGCCAACTAGAGGGAATTTAGTTCCCCAGATCATGAAAAACACTATCATATATATTCTCAAATTATCATAAAGCTTTTCAAATTAAACCCCCCAATTACTGTGAAAATTAAGGACTAATTCCAAAACTACTTAAGAATTCCGGAGACTAATAATTATTTTAATGATTTGAAGGACTAATTAATTTAAAAATAATTTAAGATTTCATAGACCTGATAGCAATTTCAGTGATTTGAGGTACTAATTTTAAAATATGAAAAAATTAAGTGCATAAGATTGAAAAACCCAAATAAGATACAGCGTTATTAATTTT